AACACACAAACAACCCCCACACACATACACACACACACACACACACACACACACACACACACACACAAAACAGCCAGTTATGAAGTAAACCCTTGCATCTAACACTAAATCTACCAGTATCTTGATCTTGGACTGTCCAGACTCCAGAACTGGAGAAAGAAATTTCTGTTGTTTATAAGCCTCCCAAATCTGTGGCATCCTATTACGACAGCACCAAAATATACCAAGACAGCTACATTTAAAGCATCATTATATGCAACAGCTGAAAGATGGAAGCAACCCACCAGTCCAGAGACCGATGAAGGGATAAATCAACTATGGTCCATGAATACAACAGAATAGTGCTCAGCCTCCAAAAGGAAGGAAATCCTGATACATTCTGCCATACAGACAGGCTGTGAGGTGAGGATACTGCAAAGTAAAAGAAGCCAGCCATAAAAGGACAAATCTGTCAGTCCACCTGCATGAGGCTGGACTAGTCAACAGGCTGAACACAAAGGACTAATCGTCACAGGCTGGGGAGGGAGGGAGAGTTGCTGTTCAGTGGGTACATCATGAAAGAGATGTGGAGATTGGTTACACACAATCTCAGTGTACTAGCACCATGAAAAGCAACCAAGATGGTAAGCTTTGTGTTGTGTGCCTCCATGGTGAAGGCCTCAGGCCACTGGAGACCTCAAAGACTGAGCAAGATCATTCAAGGCAAGTGCTTTTAGTGTATAGTACTGGCTCATGTGACGTAAGTGAAGTAACTGTCCTGCCAATCACAAGACTTGCCCCTTAGCACTTGCCCACTGTTCAGAAATGCCTGAGGAATATACAATGGTCTGAGACCCAGCTCGTGCATCACAATGGACTCTACTCCCTCTACTCTAGGTCACCCCTGCTATCCTCTCCACACTGGATACCACATCCCATTGAAGAAGACCACCGAGCAAGCGAGAAGACCACCCATGTCTCAAAGACCACTGGCCCTCCCTCAAGATCATTCCATTAAAAGTTTTTTCTTTTCCTTAATTTTCTAGGTAATTTGGACCAAAGTGAATTTGGTCTGTAAATTACAAGGATAATGACCCAATTTCTGTCCTGAAGATTAGCTTTGGGGGCAAACGGTGGGTAATCAGTGGCTTTCAGAGTGGGATTTACTTCTCTCTTTCACTGTTCTGGACTTCTTCCAAGAATGTGACCCATTGTCTTTAATAAACTACTGCATCTTTTGGGGGGTACAAAAGTGGTCATTGTTCATCAAAGCAAAGTTTGAAAATAGTAACAGGTAAATTGCTAAAGTGGGCTCATAAACAGGCATTGTTCCAAGCACTTTTATGTGTATCTACCCATTCTTTTTGAATACTATTTGTGCTGGATACAATTCATACCATCATCACCCTCATTTTACAAAGGAGGCACAGAAAGGCTAAGGAATTTACCCAAAGCCACACAGACAACATATGGCAGAGCCTGAGATTTAAATCTACATCACCTGGGCTACACTCCATCACCAAAGTACCAAAAGGCACAAAGAAGATAAAAAAGTCACTTGTATTGCAACCAAAAATCACTTAATATTTTGATATATTTCCTTCATCTTTAATCTATATGCAGGTTCAAATACATATATGATGGTTTGAAAACATCGCCAGGTATGGTGACACACACCTTTAATCCTAGCATTTGAGAAGCGGAGGCAGGTGGATCTCTGTGAGCTCGAGGCAAGCTCTATACACATACTTTTTAGAACCTACTTTTGTGTTTATGTACATATGCGTGTGCATGTATGTGTGTGCACATGTGCATACAGAGGCCAGAGGACAACTCTGGGTGTCATTCCTCAAGCACTGTCTTTTTTTTTTTTGAGATCAAGTCTCTCACTGGCCTGGAAATTACCAAGTACATTAAACTGTCTGGCCAGCAAGCCCTCAGAATCTACCTGCCTCTGTATCCTCAGTGCTGAAATTATTTTTTTATTTTATTTATTATTTTTTATTTTATGTGTATGAGTAAGTATATTGCCTGAATGTATGTAAGTGCCCCCATGTCGTGCAATGCCCAAGGAGATTAAAAGAACATGTCAGATCCCCTGGAACTGAAGTTATAGACAGACGATTGTTAACCGCCATGTGGATCCTGGAAACCAAACCTGGGTCCTCTGTAAGAGCAGCCACTGTTCTTAGCCACTGAACCATCTCCAGCCCCACAGTGCTGAAATTATAAGCACGAGGCAACACATCTGGCTTTTTTTTAAATGTGGGTTCTGGAAATCAAACTCAGGCAAACAAGCAAACATTTTACTGACTCAGTTCTCTCCCCAGTTCTAGAATCTACTTTTTCTCACTTGACTCCCACATTGTAAACAATATTCTACTACTTTATTTAAAACACACACACACACACACACACACACACACTATTACACTGCATGGATGCACCATATTCTATTTAATCCCCTACTGTTGGACATAACAGTTCTTTCTAGTGTTTCATTATTGTAAAAATAACATATTTCTTTTTACATATTGCTAAATAACATGTTTTGAAACCACTTAGCAATGTTCTTAAATGTAAGAGTTGCTGGGCTAAATGTTGTGCATGTTTTTAAAGCTTTGAGACACAAACTGTCAAATTGCCTTTCAAGAATTTCCACCCCGCAGACAGCAATTCATAATTTAAACTTCCTCTCCTCCCAGGGTGCCTGGCTACCAAGGTCCCTTTGCCCAGAGGGTCTTACAAGTCTGCCTGTCACAGCCAGGAAGCTGTTGGAGACAGGAAACTCTGTCCTGGAGATGCTCTCCAGTCCCACTGTCCAGGTGAACACTATCAGCCTGTGGAGTGTGTGTGTGTGTGTGTGTATACACATCTGTATGTGTGTGTTTGTACATCTGTGTCTGTACATGTCTAAACATGTCTCTCTGTGTGTTAATGCAGGAGCAGGGATTACCAACTGGAACATGCAGAAATCATAAAACAAGCAAAATATAGAAAATCAGGAGCTGAGAAGAACAAGGAGAGGGAGGAGCAGATGCAGGTGGAAACATGGCCACTGGGGTTCTCTCCCCCACCTGGAGACAGAGGGGCAGCTTACCAGGGCCCCAGAAGAGGAACTGGATGCCCCTCTGATTCCTCAGAGCCCCTGTCTCACAGGCACAAATTGAGAACACACTGTACTGCCCCTGCAGACTCTGGGGATACCCTGTGACAAAGCAGGATGACAAATGAGGAAGGCCTGGCCCAAGGACAAGAGAACTGGCTACATCCCCTGCTCTAGTTCAAGGTCAGGGGTTCCAGGTACTGTGGCTTTGCTTGTCCACCCAAGCCATAAGACTTTCTTTCATACTAAGCTAAACTTCAGCTACCAAGAGGCTGACACTGTCCACTGTCTGAGCAATCCGTCCTCAGGTAGATTGACAGTTCCTGGGTTCCCTGTGCTTATAAAAGTCTTAGAAGTCTTAACTGAAGCCTGAAAGTTGTCTCTGAGGGAAAAAAGAGAGCTGGTCCCATTTCATCCCCAGTGGAACAGACTACAATTGGTCCTAGGCTCTACCCATTATATACATGACCCACTAGATCCTCACCAGATTACCAAATCTAAATACTACAGTGGCCCCATGTGATGATTAATTTTGGTTGTCACTTGACATGCTTGACAAGAGGGAACCTCATTGGAGAATTTCTTCCATCAGATTGACCTTTGGGCAGGTCTGTGGAGCACTTTCTTAATTGCTATCTGATAAGGAGGGTCTAGCTCACTGTGGGCAGAGCCATCCCTAAGCAGGTGGGTCTGTGACTGTAAAAGAAAGGTAGCTGAGCAAGCCCAGGAAAACATGCCAGTGAGCAGTGTTCCCCCATAGTTTCTGCTTCAAGCTCCTGCCTTGAGTTCCTGCCCTTGTGTCCCTCAACGATAGACTATAACCTGTAAGCTAAACAAACTCTTGGCTCACCTAAGTTGCTTTTGGTCAGAATGCTTTATCACAGCAACAGAAAGCAAACTAGAACACCCCATTTCACAGATGAAACAGAAGCTATAAAAGTCCTACTGCACAGATGACAGCAGTGTTTGAAATTAATGAACTTCCTCAACTACTTTTGTCCCCATCCCCTAGACTGTACCTGGCCCAGAGGAAGTGTCTAGTAATTTTTGTGAATGAATGAATGAATGAATGAAGCAAGGAAGGGAGGGAGGCTTTGAAAATGCCACCAGCTACAGTGAGTGGCAAGGGCAGGTGGATAGCAGTGTCACCCCTCTCTATCTTCATCACCCTGGGACAGGGACACCCACAGGGACAGGTCTCATCTTCTGTCCATGAATAAATAGTGGCCAGAATGCTGAGACTTGATTGAGTCATTTGTAAAGCTGGGCTGGCTCTGCACCAATACACAGGCAGAAGCCAGCAACGCATTCTTTACCATCCCCTAGATCCAAAACCAGGGAGCGAATTCCCACCCAGATGTCAGGTTCCTCTTTCACCCCCTCTTTCCTCCACCACAGATGGGGTTCAAGGTCCTCTGTACAGATGTCCCTCACTTTGCTGAGTCTGTGCTTCTGGGCTGTGCTTTCAGGACAGCAAGCTCCACACTAGAAGGCCAGGTGGCCGCAGCATTTGCTAGCTCATCTGAGATGGGATCTCCTGGGCATCAGGATGCATGATTAGACTCATTAGTAGCAGGTCCCCCAGGGGTGGAGTACCACTCTCTCTGCCTACTATGTCTACACTTGCCGTGCAGTCACTTGTGTCTAAGAAACTCATAGGATCCTCCCAGAGATTCTACCATGATAGATAGGCAATTCAGTGCCTCCTAGAGGTGAACCAGAAGCCTGGACAGGAAATCTCTCAGAGGATGATCAGGCTTTGGAGTGCCATTTCTAAAGTCAGTATCGCTTTTCACTTGAGAAACTGAGAAGACTTGAAAGATTATTTTAATTTTATCTGCTTAAAGAGCAAGTAGGAAGTCCTTTTTTTCTTTTTTTTTTTTATTTTTGAAGCAGGGTCTCCCTGTAGCCCCAGCTGTCCTGGAACTCACTATGTAGACCAGGCTGGCCTTGAACTCACAGAGATCTGCCTGCCCCTGCCTCCCAAGTGCTCGGACTACAGGCGTGCGCCACCATGCCCGGCTAGGAAGTCCATTTTTAACATCACTAAGACCCTGGGAACATACAGCAGCAGTGAAAGCATGAATGAAATAGATATCGAAGGCCAGAATTCACTATGTGCCCATCCTCATTTCACGTGGACTTACTTTTCAATGATGGTAGTCATCGCCAAAACTTGTGTGAAAGTGTGTGTGTGTGTGTGTGTGTGTGTGTTCTAGAACATTAGTTAAGCTTATTAGCTTAACAAAAACCAAAAACTTAGCTGTGGTAGAGGCTGCTTTAACGGTGCAGACCATGGGATTCCCACCTTTCACATGGATTCCCCACTTCCTCTTTCTCAAATGGATCACCAACAGTAATGAGGATCAGCAGCATCTGAAGTCTCTATTCTCACCAATCACTGATCATACAGAGAAAACCATGAACTGACCACAGGGTGGGCTGGAACATGGTCCCCACCCCTAAAAGCCTAGGGCACTAAGCCCTCCCTTGATATGGTGGGATGTTTCTTCTCTCCTGGTCCTTAGGCCATGCCAGAGCCACAACACACCTGTGATATTGTCATAGCTCCGGAAATTCATTTCAATGTGGTCCCACTCCAACACCATGCAGTTCTCCATGCTGGGCTGGGCAATGGCCACGTACACATCGTTCTTGGAGTTGAATGTGTCCACGGACACCGACTGGTACGGCAGAGTCTGATGAACGACGAAATCTGAGAATGGGTGTTTAAAAACAAATAGTTAATAAGCTCCCCATGGAAATTCCAACTGCCATTTTCTGTGAGCGTCCATCATCAGTCCTAGGGATCTGGGGAGAAACAGGGGACAGAAAAGGACAGGAGGCAACACCACCACACTACCCTGCACATTTTACTCGGATGATTCTGGAAAACAGGACTGTCCCAAGTTCAGCCACAGGATCTCAGCAATCTAAGTGAATTTGGTAGGGCTGCCTTTCAGAAAGCCAAGGCAGAAAGAAGGCTGCAGACACATTCTGGAAGCTGGCATGCAGATTACTCTGTGACAGCAGATGTTCTGGTCCAGTAAGTTCAGAGAATGTTGTGCTCTGGCTTTCTCAGAACAGCCCCCTCAGGAAAAAGATGGATTACTGTGACTTAACATGGTGCTTCTCAAACTCACCCAACACTGGGAAGCTGTGGTCTTCTGTGATCTGTACTCATTTCTATACACCGTGTTGGGAAACAGCAGCCCTGCAGTTCACAGTGAACACTGTAACACTGTACTCCACACAGGGCATTCAGTAAGTATGAGAACCAAACCAGTGCCTCTGTCAGGGTCTCAGAAGTTTATGAAGCCCCTCTTGGGGATCTGCATGGAACCTAAATGTGTTCCCTGGCCACCAGACTTGGTGCACTGTGCCTAGGATCTGGGCGGTGTGGTACAGCAGCTGTGGGAATGACTTTTCTGGGAATGCCTTCTGTTACAAATGGGAATCTTACCTAACCTTGTAACCAAAGTTAATCTTGTGTTTTGAGATCATTTAACACTATCTCAGCTTGTTCACAATGTAAGCAATCTTCCTAGGTCTGGAGCTCCTCTTGTAAACTAAACATCCAGCTTTAACCCCTCATGACCCTTCCTCACCCCTGACCTGGAATAATGTATAAGTGCATGTATGCTGTGAAAAATATCACTGAAAACAGCATCATGGGAAGCAATGAATTACCCCATTTGTGCTGCAAACAACGGGTGCATTAGAATGACAACATCTGTTTGTGGTTTTGTATGCTATTCTTGGTCAACAGGGGTCAAAAAGGGAAAATTCTTCTCTGACATGACAAGGTTCCTTATTTCTTTTCCATGTCATACTAGATTTACTGTTGAAATAAAGAAAGAGTGTATGCCTTTGGTAGCAAGAACAGTTCCAAGAGAACTGGAAGGAACAAGTTCTGAGAACAGATCGGGCTCACTCTTAGTTTGAAATGACTCCAAGAGTCAGGCTTGTCTTGGTTCAGGCACTGCCACTTTGTGGCATCTTTGCCACAAGCAGTGAACAGGTAAGGAACTCTGCTCCTCTTACCCTGAGAAGTGGGTGCTCCTCACCCACACTTCCCCACTGAGTAACATCCAACTCACCATGGAAGTCTAGGAATGGCACAGGGCCTTGGGTTCCTCCTGGGCAAGATGAGAGGAGCCTACATTTCTTAAGGTTACAGCACCTAGCAAAGAGTTTACATATGTAGCAGTAACAGTATCAAACTACTTGCTGAAGACTTAGGGAAGAGTCCCAGTGGCTTCTAGCCCACTCCTGACCTACCCCCCAAAGAACTGTCACACAAGCCCAGAAGGCAGCCACGAGCTTCATGGGCTTTGTTCAAGGGAAGGTGACCTGACAAGAGAGAGGTGGCTTTTGCGGGGTTCCCTGTCTCTGGCTCTAAAACATCTAATAATGTAGCTCTTTACATTTCTAGCAAGATGGCTATGAACTTGTCCTGTCCATCCTGACATCTTCCTCTCACACCTGCTGGTCCTACTTCTCTCCCAGCTGTACTTTCAATTCTCAAATTCTCAGAAACATGAGCCTTTGCATTCAAACACACACCAAAATGTTTCCAGTTTTACTGAAGAATTCTGAGATGAAAAAGATCTACCAGAGTAGAGTTTAGAGAGATGTTAGGAGTCCCTGAGTTCAGTTCCCAGCACCCAGGTCAGGCAGCTCACAACTGCCTGTAACTCCAGCTCCAGGGAAGTCTGACACCCTCTTCTAAGCTCTGCAGGTACTACATGCATGTGCACATACCCACACATATGCATCTAAAAATAAAAATAAATCTTTTTTTTAATTTACCAGCATGAAAAACACCTTACAAATCAAGCTTTTGTGGCCTTGTTTTAATTTCTTTTTCCAAATTTAATTTATGGTTTCATAATATTTTCTCCATACTGATGATCTGACATGACCCAGGCTGATAAATCACTTGGATGACACATCTAATCCTGAATAGGAGACACAGCACCAGCCCCACCATAAAAGGAGAAGGAAAAAATAGAAGAAACAGTCAAGGGGTGCTGATTGATACATAGGCACCAGTACACTTTGGGGGAAGGGGCTAGAAGAATTTAAATACCTTTTCCTATCTGTATCTGAACACTACTTTCACAGAGGCCAAAGGCACTGTGAAAAGACCTCAAAGAACACACATACTGAAGTGACATCAATTTACCAGCGTTAAAATATTAATGGCACTCTCTGCCTGGAGAACCGCTACTCCATTCACACCAGATCAAGTTCATGATGTCAGTGGGTCTCTTACAATTTAGGCCTTTCTGCCACTGGAATCCACAGATTTTTACATAGCTATTTATAGCACTGGCAGAAAATAAATTATACATGATGCCAAGCCTATGGGGAGAGAGAGTGCACATTAATGCATTATTTCTCTTTGCATTTTCATCAGCCCTGAAATAGGGAAGCTAACAGGACAATTAGGATGCAAAACTCACTCCCTCTAAGGAATTTAGTGAATTATCTACCTAACTCGGGATCATCGGCAGGTAACAGGGTTCTCTGCGTGGTTAAAAATAGACTTGAAGGGAGGGCGTGGAAGAACGGTGATTAATCTGAAGAGCTGAGGCAGCCCAGTGGTGGCTGCATGCTCATTACCCGGCTTTGTGGAGGAACAGTGTGAACAATGCTTGCCTCTCTTGGGCCAAACGGAGAGGTCTGAGCTAAGAGGAAAATGGCTTATTTCCAAAGCCAAGGAGACCATAAAGGATGCCTGAGCTCTCTTGTTCAGTCTGGCTCTCCATCCTTCGGCCATCTTCACATACGTCCTCCCCAGCCTTTGATAACAGGGACTTGGCCTGAGCAAAAAACAGGAGCTCCACAATCTCACAGGTTATTAACCACACTCTTATGTGGCAGAAAGTATATCTGGGGACAGGTAACCATGTTGTACCGTCACCCCCTCCCCCGCTCCCACCCACCCCTCCCCCATATAGGAAGCAACTGGGAACAGAGCTAGCATGCCCACCAGCTCTAGAAAACGGAGACAGAAATGGTCAGCTCTTACCTGAAAGACTCCTGCAGACTTTCCAAACAAGCACAAGGCTTGTTAGCAAAGACAAATATACACAAGACAAAAAAGGCCCAAAATGTGTTAGAGGGCTCATACAATCCCCATGGATTCTGGGGCTCAGGACCTGGCTACTCAGTTCCAAGCTATGTCCTTTCCAATAACAATTCTCAGTCCCAAAACACAATTAGCCCACGGGGCTCCAAGGTCAGAAATCCTGTTTTCTTGTATAAATGATGCCATGTTCTTCGGGCTCTCTGTAGTCCATACCAGTCTTCTCAGAGATGGGTGAAGTTTCACTGCGGCCAGGTGTGAACAGAACCGTGGGAGATGTCAACCTCACGTAGGGGTTTAGAGAAGTCGCCAGAAAAACTTAATGCCAAGAGGAGTTCCAGAGAGTTATAGTTTAGCACTTAATACCAAGGGCCTTGAATGACACCTTTTTGTGCAAATGTCACTGATCATGACCTTTGATTTATTGCACTGGCCCAGGAGCACAATGAATAACCTCTTAATGGCCTCCACTGGGTACAGGTCACCTGCCAATTACACAGCTGAATAAGCCCTGGCTCCGTGATGAAACACAAGGGCACTTTTTTGAAATTTCCAGTTTCCATTAAAGAATAGAACTTGTAGTTGGAAAAAAATAAATAAACACATCTAGAATTAATTTCTACTTTGTGGGTTTTGGTATATTTATTTGGAAGGTAGTAACAGGTCTGGGCCTACATATGATATTTTGTTCTTGAGATTTTTGTGTCTTTTGCATTTCTGTAACTGTTTCCTGAGTTCTCCTTTCCACCTTGACGCTTTGGAGATAGCAAACTCCCAGCCTGAACGTTTATTTTCATGTGTATCTAGAAGGCAGCTGCACAGTGTGGATTGATCCTCTTGCCTTGAAAACCCTATTGCAGAAGCAGTGAAAACCTGCCCAGTCCTTTCATACAGGGCTGCCCCCTGCCCACTATCTGAGGGGACTTTGAGTCAGTCAGCATTTAAATTTTATTCCATAACCTCAAAAATGTAGAAAGGGAAACGTGGAAGCAGGCTCTGAAAAAACAAAGTCAAACTGCCTTTACACTTTTCCCTCAGTGTGAGTTGTTGTTTTTTTTTTTTCCCACCAACTATCTGCCAATTTATATATTCTGCTTTGCCATTGATTATAATTTACGTAGTTATTTCTTCCTACTTGGAACTATGAAAATAATTTATAGATACAAAAGTGTGGTATTAAATTTACAATAAATATCATCTTATTGATTCAAAAGAACAGTGACAGCAAAATTATCCAGACTTCTCTGCACTGGCTTACCATAAAAGGCAGGATGGTTTGAAGAGGTTCTCATGGCAAACTCACAAGTGTATTATTTCAATCTTGTAATAGAAGGAAGGGAGAAAGAGAGGGAGGGAAGGAGGGAGGGAGGGAGGGAGGGAGAGAGGGAAGGAGGGAGGGAAGGAGGGACAGAGGGAGGGAGGGAGGGAGGGAAGAAGGATGGGGGTAGGGAGCTAGCTCAGAAAGGAAAGCATTTAGGGCTGGAAAGATGGCTCAGCAGTTAAGAGCACTTGATACTCTTGAAGAGGACCTGGGTTCAGTTCCCAGCACCCACATGGCAGCTAACAACCGTCCAGAAGTCCAGTTCCAGGGCAATCCAATGCCCTCTTCTCACCTCTGTGGGCATTGCATGACACAGGTACACTTACACACAGACAGGCAATATACTCATCTATTCATACACATAAAAAATAAAAATAATAAACAAAAAAAGAAAGGAAAGTATTTGCTGCATCTGAGGAATTGAGTTAAATCCCCAGAACCCACGTAAAAAAGCTAGACATGGTGAGGGGCACTTATAATCTCAGTGCTATGGAGGCAGAGACAGGCTGATCCCTGGGGCTCACTGGACATCCAGCCTAGCCAAATCAGCAAGCACCAGACCAATGAAAGACCATGCCTCAAAAAGCAAGGCATTCTAAGGAACAACACCCAAGTTTGATCGCTGATATCAACGTATCCATGCATGTAAGCACATCCATGCACACAGACACACACACACAGACACAGATACACAGATCATAGACACACACACACACCTGACACACAGGAACATGCAGATGACACAGAAAAAAGAAAAAATAAGAGAATTTGAATTTGGTAAAGAATAAAAATTAAGACATGGGGGCTGGAGAGATGGCTCAGAGGTTAAGAACACTGGCTGTTCTTGCAGAAGACCCTGGTTCGAATCCAGAACCCATATGGCAGCTAACAACTCCAGTTTCAGGGGATCCGACGGCCTCTTCTGTTCTCTGAGGGCATTGTGCAACACACGTGCACTTACCTACATGCAGGCAATACATGCATACACATAAAAAAAAAAACTAAATATAAAAAAAATTAAGTCAGGCAGGTGGTAGTGGTGACACACACCTGCAATACCTAGCACTTAGGGAGGTTGAGGCCATTATCCTGCCTCAAATTCAAGGCCAGCCAGGGCTACATAGCAAGCACTAGGTCAATTTGGGCTATATAGAAAGACTCTGCCCCAAAAACGGAAAAAAAAGAAGGAAGGAAGGAAGGAAGGAAGGAAGGAAGGAAGGAAGGAAGGAAGGAAGGAAGGAAGGAAAAATTTAAATTAAAGCCAGGACAGTTAACAAAACTCCCTCCCAACTGCTGAGATATTTTCCTAACCACATTCTTTTAAAAGATTTATTTTATTTTGAATTTTGAATTGGCATGTGCAGGTGGCTGTGCTTTCCAAAAAGGCCAGAAGAAGGTGTTAGATTCCCTGGAGCTGGAGTTATAGGTAGTTCTAAGCCACCAAAATGGGTGCTAGGAACCAAACTCGGGTCCTCTAGAAAAGTAGCAAGTGCTCTTAACCACTGAATCACCTCTCCAGGCAGATTCAGTTCGTAAACATTTTTTTAGATTATTGTTTTTATTTGTGTGTACATGGGTGTGTGTCTATGAGGGTATATGGCACAATGCACATGTGCAGGTCAGAAGACAACTTACAGGAGTTAGGTCTCTCCTTTCACCGTGTGGGTTCCAGGATTGTCGGGCTTGGTGGCAAGCACCTTTACCCACTGAGGCATCTTGTCGACGCTGTTATTATTTTTTAATGCTTAAGCTTTCTCTAAAATAATTTAGGTAGAAAACATCTGCATTCACTTTCCCCTACATGCTGTTGACAGTCTGCAAGGATAATACGGGATGTCTCACCTCTGAGGATGGAGGCTACACCTACCTGTGGTGGTGCACTCATAGTCAAAGCTGGTCACATCATTGAGCTTCTTCTCCTGGTATTCTGGAGGACCGACACATAGCACATCCGACACAGTAGAATTTGTCATCTTTAGCCACAAATACAACCACTTGGCTTTGCAGTCACATTCAAATTTATTACCCCTTAAGTCTCTAAAAAAAAGAAAGAAACCCAATTTCATGCATACTATTTCTCATACTTAATGTTGTTTTCATTGAATGCTTCTCAATGCAGTGATTTTTAACTCCATGCTGTGGGGGGAGGGATGACAGGAGAATGTCCCAGTCTAGGTTCCCATACATGAAAACAAGACATAATAGAAAGATGGTGTTCAAAGACACAACTGGAATGTTGAAAGCTTGCTAAACTATATCCAGTAAATTGTGCTGCACTCAAGAGGCATCTAGTGAAACTTGATAAAGCAGATGGATAGGCTATTTAGAAACATGAGGACCTTCCATCCAGCAAGCTTAATTTACCACACTGGTTTCAGGGTACTGAGCACAGTATCCAATGGCAAAATCCAACACTATACAATATACATGCTGTTTCCCAATGTGCATCACTTTGTGGCTGACTGTTAACTACATCCTAAAAGAAATCAAGTCAAGAAGCAGTGGGGATTGAAAAATATGATTAACTGGGGCCCCATGACAGACAAGTGTACACAAACTCAATTGTATGACTTACAGTTCAATCAGAGAATCTAGATCACTGAAGACATCCCTTGGGAGTGCTTTAATGTGGTTATTGGCCAACGAACTAGAAACAGAAAGTCACATTTTAATGTGGTTACTGTCTTCCTGCTGGTCACTCAGAAGTCCCTTTAAATACAACTAATGATTTAAGTAGGGCTCTGAACCTCCTCATCAAAACATGGCCCAATCCTTGGCTTTGATCATCAGTACTGAAAGACATGAATTTCATACACAAAGATAACTAGGTTCCAATGGAAGCATTTTGTTTGTTTGTTTGTTTGTTTGTTTTTAAAACAACCACTTCTGTAGCTATTGAGGCAAACTGCAGATAGCTTCTATGGTTCTGGAAATAAAAACCAACATCCCTTTGAGGATGTGTAAGACCCTCCACAGTCTAGGCATCACTCACATAGGCCTTGCTATTAACTGCTTATTGAATTTCACTGGAAAATGATCATTCGCGGACTATATATTTGAATTACCTGTTTGTTTCTTGGCTGGGTACCATCCTGACACATGAGTGACATGAGGACACAGACTACTGTCTGCTTGTCCGTGGTTTTATTCCATCTCTAGAACAGTACCAGCACATAGAAAACTTTCAGTGATAAAGCAGATGGATGAGCTATTTTGGGTCATGAATGAATGAATGAAGAACCAATCTAAAACTGACAACAGAAGATGATCCATCATGATCCATCCAAGTGAATCTGATCACTTGTGACTCTCAAAAGGACTCAGTGAACACTCTTAAATAAACACACTCACTCAGCTCTGACCCATAAAGAGAACATCATAAAATCTCAATGAAGCAGCATGTCAGGGAATGACTGGTTGAGATCACTTTCATCTTCTCAGTAACAGGCTGATAAGGAATCAGTTCCCACGTTTCTTCTTAGTGTTGAAGGACTTTCGAGATGCTGGTCCACACCCACCTCCAGCAAGTAAACCAGCGTGAAAAGCATCAACCCCTGATGATGATTCAGGATCCTGCAGTGCCTGTCACCATCCTGCTGAGGATAGATGCCCACAGTGCAGCGCTGTTGTGGGAAGATGCTGAGTACGTAAATGACGTACATCAAATCTGTGATTTCCCCAGGCACCATGTGCTAATATGAGTCAGTCTAGAAACAGATCCCTTTCCAGAGTTTTCTTCTACTCGTGAGTACAAATGGCAACATTTATAAATGATAAACATATAGACAGTTCAGCACCAATTTTTAAAACATGTATGAGGTTGGTCACACATGGTCATCGCAGGGTCAAGGCCCATCCCAGAAAGATGGATAAAGAAACAAGTTCCTCTTTACAGTCAGCTGGATGTGGTAGAAAGTTTGAGCCCCTATTTGCTCCAAACATTCTTCCTTCAAATACCAGCTAAGAATGGAGAGAGCTGTAGTTTCTAATTGCTCTTTTTTCCCATCCAGGCAATCATAAATGGATTCAAATATCATCTCTTGTGCTATTTACCTTTCTTAATGATGGACTTACACATTTTTTATGTGTTGGGGAATAGGCTGATTATATAATCAGACTGAACATACTGTGGGGATAGCTTATTGAACTTTAAAAGAGAGGGTGTTTGTTTTGATTTAGAAAGTGAAACACAAAAACGTTTTAGCCAAATATAAGTTAAGTATTTAACTAAAAATAAAACTTTTGGCTAATTGAAAGCTATTATACAGACGTGGTAACAATATATGGAATAGCCAAAGACACCCCCCCCAAAAAAAAACAGAATATTTGACAATCAGCTCAAGCTTGGCTTAACGCCTTCCTTCCAACTTCATTTGGTCTATAACTTCATGACACTTACTTCATTTCTCAAACTATTTAATAGCTCCCTGTCCCCTGGGTGCTACAAAAGTGCTGGAAAACAAATGTCCTAGATTTTAGTTACAGATTGGCACTGCTCCCTCCCTGCATTGGAAGCTGTCCTCCAATTTCTTTACTATGCATGTGGGTATCTAAGTGTTGGAAGAGTTCAGAAAAGGCAAAAGCCACATATTTCATTTAAATGAGCAGATTCCAGGAAGCAACTTCCCTAAGCACAGGAGTGAATTTTAGCGCAGAGGCTTTATGTGAGAGGTTTAATTGGGGGGGGGGGGTTAGTTTGGTCTA